AGATACTTAAGATGCCTGAAACCACATCTGAATTTGGTGGATGATATGTATCTAATGTGCATGTGTTGATACATGGAGTGAATTGACCCCCTTAAGATTTATCTTGGAGCCTTGTTCTATAAGATCTCATTTCATGTCATTTCTTATTGGTGCAGATGCATTTGTGGTTGTAACGAGCTATGTGTTTGATGAAGAAAGGAAGACAAAACTGTCTTGTTGCATTGTCTAGATAGACCTTTCCATCTGCAGCTTCCAACTTTCAAGAGCCCGCATATTGGTATTTGATTCATTCTACCTTAAGTTAAGACTGCTAAGGACAGGATGAGGATGCATGTGTTGGTGCGGAATTCTGCACCAGAATGCTAAATGCTCTCAATTTGGTTGTTTTTATATAATGTCAGTTTGCTAGTGTTGCACTTTGTTTTGTTTTGTTTTCTTTTCTTTTCTTTTTGGGGTACATCAGAAAAGAAAAGAATTAGAATTACAAACAAGAACTGAAGTCTAGGATAGCACACCCCTTCCACATCCCAAATGGTTGTGTCCACAGGAGCTCCATGTCCCAACTAGTGTTACGCTTTTTGTTTTGTTATTTGTTTTCCTCATGTAGATTTTTAGTGGGTGGAATTGTTGAGGATACTCATCAATGACTTAAGCAGTCACACGATTTGGGCATTGCTGTAGATATGTGATCAATTATATGATATGGTCATTATTGGAGATATGGATTCAGTGTACTATAAATGGCAATCTGTTATTTTTTTTGTACATGTATTGGACAATACTCTTCCACATGAAGCCTTTATATATATATATATATATATTCATTCAACTGTAAATAATATAGTTGAGCCATTTTGCATCGCCTTAACTCTCCTGTTAGAAATGTTGTAGGGTAATGTGTGGTGAAATTTGTTGTAACAAAATCAGGTCAGGTACCACGCTTTGTTTGTGTGTGTGTATATATATATGAATAGTTATTTCTCTTTATTGAAGCTGAAGTATTAGGGGCCATTGTGGGGTTTATTCAGCATGGATGTTTTCCTCTACTTTTGGTTTGGGTTGGAACGAGGGAAGGATTCAAGTGTTATGGGGAACAGAGATTTTGATTATTTATTAGGTTAAACTCTAATTTGGTGTTTCAACTATTTTATAAATCCTTGAGTTAATCCTTAAACTCAAAAATTTCTTAATTTGGTCTTTAAAGTTTTTAAATTTGATTTTAAGTTGTTCTTTCTGCACAAAAAATAATTGATTTGTCTCATTATTCATAGGTGATTGTCAAGTAATGGTTTTTTGTTGTTAAATAATAGATATGTTAGTTACTTTTTAATTGAAGGATAAATTTAGAT